GATTGAGCACACAAAATAATGAGTGGTATACAGAAGGAAGATTTGGGATGTCTGTACACCCTTTCTTATAATACAAGAACCAGGGGGACATGCAATGAAACAATGCAGTGAAAGGTAGCAAATTTAAAACTGATAGAATAAAATACTTGTGCACACAATACACACTTAGTCTGTGGAACTCATTGCAATACATTAAAATGAAGGCGAAGTAAGCTTACCAAGATTCAAAAAAGGATTGTACATTTGTACACACTAGATGGAATTTCTAGTAAAGAGCAAAAAAATCCAAACAATCATAAACAAACAAATCATATCAGTTTTTTTTTAAGAAGGAATATAAATCTTAAATCCTCATGTTTCAGGGCTAGGCCAACCACTAACTGAAGAGGTTTCAATGAAACTTTCTCTATAGGAAGGTTATTCTATAATTGCCTGATGCAGGGTTTCTTGCACTTTCCTCTGAAGCAGGTGGTTCTGTCCACGGTCAGAGACAGGATACTTACGTGGATGATCCCCTGGTCTGATCTGGTTTGGCGATTGCTATCTTTCTGTGAATTAAAGTCTTGTTGGTACCTTACTGTAAACTTTGAGAAGATATTCTATTTACACTTTAGAGACAAATTGTCTATTTTATTGTATGTGTTCCATATTTCTCTTCCCGTGTTTCTTATTGATAAAGACATTTATATATAAAAAGGATCATTTTTTCCCCTGCTGCTTATTCCCTACCCAAAGTCATAATGCTCTCTTTGTGACATCACATTTGGCTGCTGTGGGAATGATTATATCACAAACAGAAGGTTATAACTTCAGGAGAAGAATAAGGAGGAGCAAATGGACTTTTAAGAAATGAAAAGATCCTCTTTTCATGCAAATTGCCTTAATAATAAAGTATAAAGGAAGGGGAAAAAAGAAAAGAAGCAATAAAAATACATAATCTCACACTATCCAATATTATTGTTCTGTTATGGAGGGTCAGAACCTGCCAATATTTATGTGAGTAACTTTACCCACGGGGATCCTCAATTTCCTGTAACAGTGCAAAGTAGCCTTAGTGTGGTTCTTATTGTTTCTTATTATGTGTTTCTTATTATGCTGTTTTTTAATAGTGCCTCTTATTTTAGGATTCTGTCACACTTTGTCAGGTAATTGCCACACTTGTAGCCTAGACAACTGTGGGTTGCATTGCCTTCCAGTGATGCTCTGGCCTGGAATAATTAATCAGAGAGTGACACAGTGTATTTGCTCAGTGTGTCATGTGGCACAGTGTGAGAGTGGAGTTGCCCTGGGAGTGGGGCAGACTCAAGGTCCTGAATAAAAGGTTACTTCTGACACACTGCCACTCAATCTCAGTGCCCTCACTTGCTCAGTGTCAGGGAAAGACAGAAGACTGACATGGCATTCAATGTTGGCAAGTTGAGGAGAGCTGCATCAGATGTTTGGCTACGTGTTGACCACTCAGTGGGAAACAGATTTTGAAAGTGAGTCTATAGGGTTTCCTCTTCTGCACTAAGTCAGATAATTCAAGTGATTCAAATGCTGGTAGATAAAGCAGACTGAACAAACATCCTGCTACTATATATTTCCCATTCCCCTTCCTTCCCAACTATGGAACTGGTAGAATGGCACAGTGTCTTTATTACAGATTGGATGGGTGCTAATGCAAACAAAGGCTTACTGGGATAAGAATTGACTGAGCTCCTTGCCTTCAGGGGTGGGGTGGGGCCAGGGATGAGGGGTTCAGGGTGCGGGAGGGGGCTCAGGGCTGAGGCAGAGGGTTGGGATGAGGGGGTAGGAGGAAGGCTCTGGTTGGGGGTGCAGGCTCTGGGGTGGGGCCGGGGATGAGGAGTTGGGATGCAGGCAGGCTACCCCTGCCGGCAGCAACTAGCTCCGGGGAAGGGGCCTCTCTCTCCCTGCCAGCAGACAGCACGGAGCTCTGGGGAAAGGGGTTCTCTCTCTCCCCTGCCGGCAGACAGCATGGAGCTCCGGGAGCAGGGCCCCTCTCTCCCCTCCGGCAGCAGGGAGCTCCTGGGTTGGGGGAGAGGCCCACAGCAGCCCTGCAAGTCCCAACTTGCTCCCCTCCCAGTTCCCGCACACCTCCGACCTCTCTCCTCTCCAGGTCCCTGCTTCATGGCCCTTTAGAGCTGCTGCACGGCTATTTATAGCCTGGTGTGCAGCCGCGCAGCTTAGAGGGAACTTAGCGAGCCGCACTTAGGGTCGAGGGGAGCTGCCACTGGCTTGCGAGCCTTGCAATGAAGAACACTGTGCTAATACATCCCAGAATGATCACTTTTTTTGCAACAGTGTTACACTGTTGATTCATATTTAGCTTGTGATCCACTATGACCCCCAAATCCCTTTCCGCAGTTCTCCTTCCTAGGCAGTCATTTCCCATTTTGTATGTGTGCAACTGATTGTTCCTTCCTAAATGAAGTACTTTGCATTTGTCCTTATTGAATTTCATCCTATTTACTTCAGACCATTTCTCCAGTTTGTCCAGCTCATTTTGAATTTTAATCCTATCCTCCAAAGCACTTGCAACTCCTCCCAGCTTGGTATCGTCCGCAACCTTGGTACATGTACTCTCTATGCCATTATTTAAATCAGTGGTTTTCAACCAGGGGTATGAAACCCCAGGGACACACAGAGGACCTCCAAGGGGTACATCAGCTCATCTAGATATTTGCCTAGTTTTACAACAGGCTACATAAAAAGCACTAGGTTTTTACAAAATTTCATACAGATGACTTGTTTATACTGCTCTATATACTATATGCTGAAATGTAAGTACAATATTTATAGTCCACATTTTCAAAATATTCCAGGAATTTTGAGTATTCAATGTTATTATTTGAATTATGGTGGCATCTAGAGCCTCCTGGGATCAGACCCCCGTTGTACTAGCTGCTATACAGATATACATAGATAGAGACACTCGCTACTCCATACAATCTGAAGTGGTAAGGCAAAGCATGAGAGAAAAGAAGCATTATCATTCCAGTTTTACAAATGGGAAACTGAGGCACAGAAACATTAAATGACCTGCTTAAGGTTAGATAGTATGTCTGGGGCAGAACTAGGAATCAAACCCCAATCTTCTGAATCCAACTCTAGTGCCTTAACCATAAGACCATCATTTCTTTTGTGTAGCTCATAACTTGAGATACCTGGGTCCTGATTTTGCAGAGGTGTGAACACCTGCAGCTCCTATTGACTTAAGTTGGAGTTGTGGTTGCCCGGCACTTCTGAAAATCAGGACCAGGGTGTCTTAAGTTGAGCATTCTAAAATGGAGACATCCAAAATCTGCAGCCACTTTTGAAAATGTGGGTCCCAAATATCCAAACAGACAATCAGTGGCCAAGACTGAACTAGAGCTTAGGGTTTCCTGAATTTCTTACCATTTACATATTCCTTCATACCACACTGACTCTCATTAATCAGAGTGGTCAGGAGCTGAACACTGGCACCTACTTGGTTAAAGCATGAACTCAATATATCGGCACTTTTTTGACTACTTCACTGTAACAAAAAATAGACAATCAAAGATAGAATGGGAATTTTGAAATAGACACGGAGGTATGACAGAGTGATGCAGTAAGAATGAATTATTTTAGAGCACATTTGGACCACTTTACATTGCTTTTACTTTGTCACTTTAAATGGTTAGGCTGTGCCCCAGAGTTCAGTAAATGGACTGTCATACATTGGAAAATATCTCTGAGTGCTAGGTACTATATTTAGTTTAATATTATTTATTCTGTTAGTTCTTGTGCATGATCAATACAAATAGTAAGATAATTTAATTGGCTCTTATGATACTGTGAGATCTGATGGTCTGGAGCAGGACCAAAAACACCCAGGGTCTAATTTTATCCCTGGTAGTGCCTCCATCCATGACATTGGACAAGTCTCTTAACCTTCATCTCTCATTTTCCGCTTCTGTAAAAGAGACAATAATTCCTATCTATCTCACAGAGGTGTTGTGAAGATTAACTAGTTAATATATGTAAAGCACTATATACATTCTACATATTATATTTAAGATCCTAAGGACTAGCCCTTAAAATGTGCTACTTTATCAATCAACATGTCCATATTTTTCTGTAGTAATTTGTGTAATTGACTCTATATAGTGAAGTTTTTTTAAATCCCTGTAACCCTTGGAGAACTACACATATCTCTGGCTTGTAACAAATGGAACCCACATCATAAAACTGTGCTAAGAAGGGCATGTGTGCATATACTTAGTAGGCCTTGAGAATTTACGGACTACAGAAAATGTTCCTATTAAGACATTAAATAGTTCATATGGTTAGTAACAGCTAGATGGCAAATTATTTTACATTCACGCTATGCTCTTAGGGACACCTGGAAGGGGGGTTGAGGATGAATTATTTGTACTACACTTAGAAAGTGTAAAACACTATACTATAAATACCAAGTACGAGATAATTAGTACCTAATGGTGTATACGTAACTCAGACCTGATAAAATTATTGGGACCTGTTATTCAGTGGCACAGAGAGAGGATTTAAGTTTAAATACCACAGGCAGCACAGCAAGTGCTAGAAGCTGTGCTTTCAGGAGTCATGGGTTCTGGGTTCTAGTCCCACTGCCTGCGTGTAGCTAGTGCTAGGAAGCAAATGATGCAATGACAGATGCACTATGGATCCAGATGTGAAGAGTGTGGGGCAGCAGCATGCCAAACAACAGAGACTCCTAGGGGCTATAGAGGGTACAGTGGTGTGCCTGGAAGGGGCTATAGGAAGGAGACAGAGGGGGTCTGAGGGCCGGGGGGTCAGTGGAGACTTTGGTGGAAGGAAGGGGGGCAGTGAGGTGGTGATTGGGGGTGGGTTATGGGCAGTGGTGGAGGGGCAGGGGGGCTGTGGTGGGAGGTAATTAAGAGGGTGTGGGGAGGTGCAGGGCCTGTAGGTGAAG